GCGTGAATTCTTTCAGCTGTCTCTGCAGACGTGTCTCCGTCTCCTTGGCGCTTTGTTCAAGGCTCGCCATTTCTTGGCGGAGAGCTTTGTTCTTGGCCGTCAGGTTGTTAAACATCTGGATGTTGGCCATCGACGTCTTTGAATGACGTTCCATCTCCTCCATCAGTTCCTGCTTCAGCGTTTCTGTCCGTTGTTTCAGAGTAGCTGTATCTTTTTCATACTTCTCAGTCATTTCCCTGTGTGAAGCCTTTACGGTTTCCAGCTCTCTCTGCAAATTGGCCACCATGTTTTCAGTTTTTAGCTCCAGGGATTCATGGACCTTCGCTTCCTTGGCCTGGAACTCATTCTCTGCTTTCTTTGAGTTGTTTTCTCCTTCTCTAGTTAACTCCTGCTCTAATTTCTCCGCTTGCTGCCTCAACATAAGAATCTCCGTCTCGTTCTTAGAGATGGTTTCCTGACTGGAGGTCTTAAGCTGCTCCAGTTCGTTCTGCAGAGTTTGGTTCTGGTCTCTCAAAGTGCTTATAAGCGATCGTCCATGCTCTACTTTCAGCTCCCATGCTGCGGTTTGATTCTTCTGATTCTGCAGCTGGTTCTTTGTATCTTGTAGTTCTTTTGACAAATAATTCACCTTACGCTGCTCTTCTTTCACCGCTTTTCTTTCCACATCCAAAAGATGTAAGAGTCGGTTCGTCTCCGGGTCCAAGTAATGACCAGGCGGAGGATTTCTGCCTTGAACCCAGGCACCCTGGTTGTACTGGTTTCTCCGTCCACTTTCCTGGACATACTGCCCCCTCGGGTGGAATCTTCTTGTCTGGTTTGACATTTTTACTCAAATACGATTGGAGGAAAATAATTCACTGAAAACGATCAAACAATGTTTGCTAGAAACTCACTGTACGTGTTGTGTGCTCTGTGGGTCCAGGGAACTGTGGTTGGAATAATGTGTGGAATGGGAGGAGTCAGAATGTCTGGGGGAGGTCTTAGAATTAGAATGACATCATAGAATCAGTTTGAACATAAACAAATAAATATGACAGTTATGACAGTTTACTTTTGTTTATGTTCAAAATTAGACTAGAATCTATTTGGTGTTTCCATTGCAAAGCAAGGAGCATAGAACGCCATTGTGTCTTTCTATGCTCCTATTCTACTGTGGCAAACACACAATATAGGTATCAAACCTCCAAATATATACGAATTATGCTCTAATTTCTATCGATCTGTTTTTACCATAATTTAATTTGACAAACCGGGTCTTCTCTACATCCTTTTCCTGTTTGGTGCGATTGCAATTGCGGGTCTTGATCTGGACTGACCCGAGCGGAGCAAAAAAGAGCTCAGTTCCGTATGTTGACGGTGAGGGACGGAGAAGACATACGTGGGCGGAGGAGTAGCGGAGGATGTGGAACAGCTCTCATTGATTTACATGACAGACAAGTACTCCGCACGACGTACGTGAGCGGAGCGGAGCGCTGACGGAGTATGTTGAATCTGGGGGTACAGTGCAATGAAAATCCGGACTGTCCGCCCTAAAGCCGGACATCTGGCCACCCTACCCTTAAGATGTCTTTATTAAATTTGGTCTTTTTTTTTTTTTTTTTTGCTGAAACTGAATTTATGTTCTTTTAACAATCTGCGTTTTTTTTTTTTTTTTTTATGTCAGGATACAGTAGGGCTGGTTTAAAAATTCAATATCAATATAAATTACACTATTATTTTAATCAGTTATAAAAAGTAAAATGAAATAGCCAGACTGACTGACATATTGCATAGTCAGTCTGGTTGGCCAGGCTATATGCTTCCATCCATTCATCTTTACCTGCTTAGTCTTTGACAGACCCCAGGCCAGGAATCAAACCCGGAACCTTCTTGCTGCAAGTGCTGTTTACTTTACAATTAATACAAACAACATAATTTTGAACAGAAATTAGTTGTTTGCATTTTTCTGAAATTACTTAAAGTGGTAGGGAAATCGGATTTAAATGTAAAATCAATCTGACTTAAACATGTATTTATTGTTCAGTTTTTTACAGCACTAGTGGCTGTTTTTTGGACAGTAGAAAGGGGGAATGAGAGAGGGGGAGAGACATGTGGCAAAGGTGGGTTTCGAACCCAGGTCGCCCACACCAAGGACTAAGGCCACTGCACCATCAAAGCACTCCCAGACTTAAACATACTCTTTATCAGAAGATATTGTCCCAAAATTTAGAAAATTTCTATTTAAGCAAAAAAAATCCTGTCTTAAAATCTGTGTTTTTTTCCCCCGTTATCT